CTGGAGCGAAAGTAGCAAAGTATTTGTCAATTTCATATTGTCCTGCATTCCAGCAAGAACGCTTACAAGACCCGCTGTTGACAAACCGATATCCAATCCCGGGCCTACACTGCTGCTACTGCAGCCCGCTGGCGGGAACCGTCACGGCCGAGGTGGTCTGTGCAGTAAAATCTAATTTTTCACTATTATTAGTTATCGTAGTATCCTCCATCTTACCTGAAGATTTCCAGGGATATAATGATGCCGCGGAGTACACTGCTGTAGTTTCTACTAATAACTATTTTTCCAAAGTTATTTGTCGGGAAAAAATGTTGCAGTCTGGCTGTCTGCATGAACGAACACGACTGGTTACGCGTGCGCGATACACATCCCATGGAATTCCGCATCGGCCGAGAGGGCAGTGTAGAACCTCGAGAAGAAGCCCATTTCGAATTTAAGCCCCCTCTTTAATTTTCAAAAGTATCCTCGAAAAAAGGCCCATCTCGAAATGAAGCCCATTTTCAAGATAGCATTGGCTTTTTTCTTTGAGATAATATATTACATACATTGTACATGTAGGTCGGTTAATACACTCCATGATACTGATTGATGTTACAGTGGGCCCATTTATTGTTTTATAGTACTGTAGTAATTCCCAAAATTTACAGCATTCATTTTGAATAAGCCCTCCTTTACTTTGAAAAAGTGGCCTAAAAGAGAAGCCCAACCAAAGTTCACAAAAGCCCTGAGCTTCAAATTCAATGTTGAAAATTTAAAAGCAAAACCTTATTTAAAAAAGGTCAAAATCCCAAAGGTTGTAGACTGCTTCACAAATACCACTTGTAAAGCAGTGGCGGTACCAGGATTTCCCTGACGGTGTCCAAGGTGCCTGATGTAGCTTAATGTCCCTGACAAGAATACAGTTGCTGTGGTCAGGCGTTGCGAAACAACTTTCAAAAGTGGTAAAAAAAAAAAAAGGACAATTTAGGGGTTTTCAAGGCATATTTAAACTATATTTAACGAAAAAAGGTGGAAGAAGGCTATTTACGCCCATTTTCCTCCCAGTTTTTACATATTCAAGAATTTGTTTCTCATTATTCGACGAGTTTTTGGTATATAAAAAAATTTTCCTCTGGAGCCTGGGTTTAAGCCTTTGAAACCCCTAAATTGTCATGCATACTTTGGGAAGTGGCCACTTTCAAAAGCAAACCAGCATTATTGTTGCAAGATCTATGTATAGTCCAGGCATCACTGAAAATAGACAAAACAACAATAAATAAATAAACTGTATTTACCTTTCACATATATATCTGTCTCTTATACACATCTGAGGTCCGGGGGTCCTCCCCCGGATATGTGTATATATATAATTATCCAAATGATATATATGGTAAATATATAATTATCCAAATGATATATGTGTTATAATATATTTTCTATTTATGTACACATTTCAATATGTCCGAATAACGAATTTTTTTAGTGGCGGCCATTTTTGAATTCAAGATGGCTGCCAATGTTTGCATTTACGTAATAAAAATGTCTTATGGATGTGCTGAACATTTTAAAATGGGTATTGTCACCAAAAAGAGCTTGATCCGCATTCATAATTCGAGTTATTGATAAAATTCAGCTTCGAAATAGTAGTTATTTGAATGATGGCCGCCATCTTGAATTTGGTCTTTAAATGTCTTCAGAAAAAATTACAACATATTTTTTTTTCATCCCTTATATTATTAAGATATGAAATCAAGTCGAAATTTTCTTTTAACAAAAAATATACACGACACTTATATTTACGACATACCGGCCTACACTAATATATATACTCAAAAATATATAAAATTTATAAATGCGTTTCAACATACTGTACGCGGAGTTATGAACGATGCATTATTTAGACCTACTCTACAAAAAAATAAAATAAAATAAAATTATAGTAATACAGTCTAGTTGTAGAAACGGTTGCGTTTCTGTAGAGTTTTGTAAGTGAAAATAGGTGGCGCACAGCGAAATGCCCAGTTGTCAGACCCACGCTAATGATCCGTGTTGCTATGATGATTGTGTATGTGTAATAACAGGAGCAAAGGGTACATTATTCGACCGTTTCTAAAGTTATTGGTTAGAATCCTAAACAACGGATTAAATGTAAGTTTATAAGAGTAATTGGCGCTAATGCACTTTAGTACTGTAACACTTCTATCTTCAAAAATTGTCTTTTTACCTACTGTGCGCTCCTAATAATATCTTACTATTCTTTTTCATCCAGTTCTCTCACTAATTACACCAGTTTTTAGCATTTTATTACTAAAAACAACGTTCTTTCCCAGCGATTCATGACGGTAGCGACTCCCGATGTTTGTTTATAAATAATTAATTGTCCTTTTATTACCCTTTATAAATTCAAAATATATCACTCCAGGTGTTCAATACAAGTGGGAAAGCGACTTGCAGACAACTACAATTGAATGGGAACGTTGTTGGAAAAATAAAGTTTCTAATGTGTTACATTTGAAAAACATAGCCCAAATTAATTATAAACTCTTACATAGAGTAATTCCAACAAAGAGTAGGTTACAAACATGGAACCTGTCTGCCAGTAATAGTTGTGAAACCTGTAATGTTATAGAAGACGAACAACACATGCTGTTCAAATGTAGAGATGTAAACCTATATTGGTCTAATGTTAGTATAATGTTAGCATCTTGTTTTAAAATGACTGATAAAATTCAATGGTCTAAAGTCGTTCTTGGAAATTATCAGAAACGTGTTAACGAAATAATCTCTATGCTTACCTTCTGTATATACAAAAAAATAAAATGTTAAAAAGATTAGGGTTGGAGATAAAATGCACATGGAAAATGTTCCTAAACGAACTAAAAGCTTTAATTGAATGTGAATTTATAATTAACAAAGAAAATGCAAAAAAAAAAATGGTCAAATATTAACCTTAAAATGTTAGAGACAAATTTTAACGTACAGATCAAATCGGATGTATATGATGTATTAACTGATTGATTTATTGGGTGGATATTCAGTTAAAAAAAAATCAAACAAAAAACTAATTCTATATATGTATGTATGTATGGGTATATGTGTGTAGATATGCGTATATAAGTATTATGGATATGTATATGTGTGATTATGTATACGTAATATGACCTCAATATTGCATGTACAGAACACTATTGTTAAATAAGCTATTTGCTATGATTGACTAAGTTAATTATTATTATTATTATTATTATTATTATTATTATTATCATTATTATTGTTATTGTTGTTATTATCATCGTCGTCACCATTATTAGTATCATTATTACTATCATACTTTCTTGACCGTTGGGTGATTATGCTTTGTTGCATTGTTTGTTTGATGGGAGGAGTAATTAAATTATTGTATTAATTGTATAATGTTTAGAAATGGAAAAAAAAAATTAATGTATAAAGGAAATAGAACAACAGTACTAATTTAAAATAAGTGATAAATATGTCAATAGTAACAAAACAATATTTATGTTCAAAGAAATCATGGAATAAATAAAAGTGGGACGACCCAACAAAAGAGAAAAACAAATAATTAATTGTCAGGTTGTTATCCAATTTTAAGAACAGCTCTGTTCGTTGCCAGGTTTTTTTTTCATTTTGTTATAACGATGCCTTTTCATAAATTGTTATTTGTATTGTTATCTGTATTGTTTATATCGTTATTCTGGTACAGTGCAATATTACAGTAATAATGACATATTACATTTAGGGACAACAGCTATTATTTCGTCGGGGAAATCTGACCCCTCGTCGGGGAAATCTGACCCCTCGTCGGGACCGCGAGGACGGTAATTAGTATGACCGCATTTGAGCAAACAATAATTATCACACATAGCACCTTTATTATATTTAGACCCAAAAATTATTACACTTACAACCTTTAATACAATTAGACCCAAAAATTATTACACATAGGACCTTTATTACATTTACACCCAAAACTTATTACACTTAGAACCTTTATTACATTTAGACCCTAAAAGAATTACACTTAGGAAATGTATTACATTTAGACCCAAAAGTTATTACAATCAATGAATCATTTGTCAATCATGGCCATTATTACACTGCATTTAGGACATTGCATTTAGGAACTTTATTACATTTAGACCCAACAATTCTTAGAACCTTTGTTATATTTAGACACAAAAATGATTACACATAGGACATTTATTACATTTAGAGTCACGAATTATTACACTTAGACCCTTTATTACATTTAGACCCAAAACCTATTACACATAGGACCTTTATTACATTAAGGCACAAAAATCATTACACTTAGAACCTTTATTACATTTAGACCCTAAAATGCATAGGACCTGTATTATATTTAGACCCAACAATTATTACAATCAATCATTTGTCAATCATGGCCATTATTACACTTAGGACATTGCACTTAGGACCTACATATATTTATTTATACATTCTTTCATAATATATGCATGTTCTGCTGCCTTCCTTTTCCCTTCTTTCACGAGCCATCGAGTTCTGAATATCTGAAGCTTCCTTTTGTTTTACTAATTCTGGCAACACCAAATCATAAAGTTTGAATTCTGGCAACAGCATTAGGCTCGATCGCCAATTCGCCATTGGAGATGACGGATGGAGCCATATTAGGCGTTAAAAGCCGTGGTTTTTTGTAATAAAATGCTAAAATCCGATGTTATTAAGCAGAATCTGAATGAAGAAACATCGTAAGATATTGTTAGGAGAATGTTACGTTCTTGGAAGGTTTCAGAACAATAAATAAATAACACACATAGGTTTTAAACAGCGTGAGTTACTTTAATTCCGGAACTCAAAACAACACAAACAAATACACAGCAAACTTTCTGTATTGTAAGATGGTCGTCAACGACGATGCACCGATAGGTGGCGCACTAATAGTTAACTTAATTCTCAGTCCACAACACCTCCCCCACTAAGTTTAAAGTTAAATGTTAATGGGAGGAACATAAACTTTAATACTAATATGAGAACATCATCTTAGATTTACGCGCTCTGCTTGAACGACGGGGATTCTGCGGTCCATATTGCTCACGATTGTCATTATGAACTCTATAATGTTTATCATGGTTAATTGAAGGTTTAGGGGCATTAACATTAGTGTCCATCATAGCCTGTTCGACTGCAGGATAATTATTGTCCAACAGACTATCATGTTGGTAATCAACTCCTGGATCCGCATCTTCTTTGGTTTCATATCGTGGCTGCAATTGTTCTATGTGGCGTCTCCACACCGGGCCTTTAGGCACAACTTTAACATTTACTGAACGTGGTCCTAGTCTTTTAGTAACCACGGCCGGTACCAATCTGGGGTTTTTATCTCTCCTTGGTCCACAATACAATGCATAACATGTGTCTCCAATTTTATACTCTCGAACCAATGACTTAACATTTTGTTTGCCTTGTGCAATATGAGCTGGTGAAGGCAATACGGTGTCAATCTTGGTTCTTATTTGTCTTCCATTTAGTAATTCGCTGTAGGAGAATCCTGTAGGTAGTGGAGTACGTCTATACTGTATGAGGAATTCCTTCAGTGCAACACCTGGAGGATGAGTAGATTTCCTCAATGCTTGTTTGAAACTTTGTACTAATCTCTCCGCAGCTCCATTGGTAGCTGGGTGGTATAGTGCTCCTGTAAGGTGGACAATACCCCTCTCCGTACACCAAAGCTGAAATTCATCCGATGTGAAAGTAGTTGCGTTGTCAGATACCAGTGTGTGTGGGTATCCGAAATGAGCACAATCCTCTTCAAGTAGCTTGATAGTAGCGCTGGTCGAAGTGGAAGTAGTTGGATGAATACACGGGTACTTTGAATATGCATCAACTACTAACAACCGATTTGAACCCATGAAATTAATCGCATGGTCAACATGTACTCGACTCCATGATTTTCCGGAAGAATACACGCATATTAAATTCCGTGTATATGACAGGTAAACGCACGGCTTTACACCACGGGGGATCCCCGCATTCGAGCACAAACTTATCTTGTCTAACCGTGTAAAAATTTACCTCGGAAATACTCGTTTGAGGTCAGCGAGGCAATAGTATATATCCCATCATGCCACGCAATATTTACGTTTCTAACCACGCTTCACGCACTTGTACTGTACTCCCTGCGCAAATACTTCAGTTTATTGGTGACCTGTGTCACTGTCAACTTTCCCCTAAATTTTTCTTCGATGCAGTTATTTCTTTGTAAATACCGCTGTTTCGGCGGGTGCCGTCCAGTTGTCTCCGTATTCTGTCTCCCCCTCCCCCCTCCAATGAGAGAAAGTAACGTATCATAGGTTCGGTCCACACAGACATGTTGAAATGATGAAGATGATGCTATAACATTAACAACAGGTCAGCGAATGCATTTGTTTTTGTAAAACTGTGGACAGGCCTATGGTTTTCGCGCGTGTTGAATTGAATTCATGTTGACCGCCAGACGGTAGAGTCATTAAAACATGATTAATGGTCGCGATAATAGCCTTTGACAGCGATACACGGTTCTATAACCCTAAATTTGGTGGTCAAAATAGGCGAGCGTGTTCCAGATGTTTTTTACATCTTACCCCCGTTCGACCACGCACTGCATTTAACTTCCGTGTAAATACACGGACCTCGCA